TTAATTCTAAAATGTGTCTAGATAGTAACCTAGTGGAATATTTCATCGTGCCCCGGATACTTACTGTTACTACCAGTTGCCCCTTTAACTGCTGTATAAGAATATTATGACATTTGTTAGATAATGTTGGTGTGTTATAGGCAACATCATAGCGGTGGGCAGCGTGGGTCTGGCGGTGACGCAGAGCAACACATTGACAGCCATGCTGCAGCACGGGGCGCGTATGTTGGTGGAATATGTGGCGCAGCTTACCAGCGTTGAGCGAGTACTGGACTACACCAAGGTTGAGACTGAAAGGAACCTATTTGATGGACGTAAGTTAAAGAGTTAGAAGTGAAGAAAATCATGTCTTCTGAATATTTTCTTCAATTTATAATTGCTGGTTTCTGTCACATAAGTTGTATACGCTTCTATCTTTTATATTTTTGGGTTCGTCTAAGTATAAATGCAGGTGCTGGAATCCTTATATGATATCAATGGACGATAAATCCTTATTATAACTTTTACAATCATTGTGTGTGACAGCGCTTGAGAAGCCCTTTCGTAAACAATTTGTTGTATTCAAGGCGCCGTTGGCGTGCTCGGTTATAGCGAGCTTGTCTTCAAACTCAAGGGTTTGAATATGAAAGCTTTAATTTTAGGCCAAGGACGTTGTTACACGTGCCGTGGAAACAAATAAAAATGTATAATATGAAATATGCATTTTTATGTAGAGTAAAAATATCTTCAAATAACTACAATAAACGGCGCTTTGACGTTATTTATATAATTTAAGGTATACTGGAATAAAGCAGCCTTGTTGATTCCACAGTGTTACACGGTTAAATGAATCAGACGTCATAGAGACCTTGTAACTGTGGTTTTTGTTTACAGCGTGTCCCATCCCTCCGACTTGGCCTGCGGAAGGAAGGGTCGTGTTCCAAAACGTGAGCCTACGTTACGCTCCCGACGAAGCACCCGTGCTTAAGAATTTGAATTTGGAGATAGAGAGCGGCTGGAAGGTATTGATTCTTTTTTTTAAATATAAAAGTTATGTTATCTGGTATATAAACTTGTAAGAAAAATATAATTTACTTATCATACATATTATTTCTACAAACTTGTAATCGTAAAAAGTTAAGTAAGAGTTATTTCCAGTTCATATTGTTCCTGTCCAGTGATCGAATCTAGCGCTGTGTTATGTCTAGAATAAATACAAGTGGCCTTAAGAATTTAGTTTTAAGGAGTAATCTTTAACATTTTAATAAGGCAACGTAACTGCATATTTTAGGTAGGCATTGTGGGCAGAACTGGTGCGGGGAAATCGTCTCTGATATCAGCATTATTTAGATTTTCCTACATCGATGGAAAAATATCGATTGATGGAATCGATACCGCTATGATTGCCAAACAGGTAACATTTTATTTATAATTTATGTGTGTAAACGAATACTACACAACAGTTCAGTTCTATTATTTTATTTGTTTATTTTAATATGATGTTAATTTGTCACATGATATAAAACAAGATTTAATTTTCAGGGCTTACGTTCTAAAATATCCATCATTCCACAAGAACCTGTCTTATTTTCTGCCACAATTAGATACAATCTTGACCCATTTAACATCTACAGCGACGACGACCTCTGGAGAGCTCTAGAGCAGGTAAACAATTCACGAAGAATGAATGGAATACAAAATAGTCATAATTTATTTCTATTGTTCATTTTACACGTATATTATTTACAGGTTGATATGAAATCGGCGATTCCTTCATTAGATTTCAAAGTGACCGAAGGAGGTGCGAACTTCTCGGTCGGTCAGAGACAACTCATGTGCTTGGCCCGGGCGGTGTTGCGATCAAATAAAATATTGATAATGGACGAAGCTACTGCCAATGTCGATCCACAGTATGCATTTCAATTACCTTTTTCTTCATATCTATTATACTCTGTTTGCTACATGATTGTTATTTCTTTCTAGGACGGATAATTTCATTCAACAAACGATACGTCGTCAATTCGCATCGTGCACGGTGCTGACGATAGCTCACCGACTCAACACAATTATGGACTCGGACCGTGTCCTCGTCATGAGCAGCGGCTGCATCGCTGAATTCGATCACCCATATATTTTGCTCTCGGATCCCAACAGCGCTTTCTCGTCGATGGTGCGTGAGACAGGAGAAAAGAACAGCCGTCAGTTATTCGAAGTTGCCAAGGAGGCGTATTCACAAAATAATCTGAAACAGAATTCAAGATGATCAATAATGTATTGCCTGATATGAGTTAAAATATCCAAAGAATATTCATAGTAAGTGTTCGAAGCGCATTTATGAATTGTGTAAATAGGTTAAGTTTAGTCATATGTACTAATGATTAGTTGACACAATAAAGCGATTAAATTAAAAAATACCTGAGACAAAAATTGTTTTCCATATTTTCTATTTGATTACTAAGTTAATTTTGAAATATATAACTTTAACTTATGTGTAAATTAACTTTAAATGCTCTAAATTGCACATTAATAACTACAGTGGTTAAGTAAAAATAAACATTCCATTTCATAAACAGATAGATGATAAATAAATTGATGTAATAAATATTTTCAAGCACTTAATATTTACGACAGTACTTGTAAATTAAAAAAAAATCGTACCTTAGCGTTCACATCAAACTGATAAAGTCTGGGAAGACTATGTTTTCACGATATAGTAATAAAGGAATTCGAATATATTCGTTTTATTTATTTTACCAACAAAATAGCCTTCTCCGCGGATGATAACATCGATAGAGTCGATGTGATAAATATATTATTATAACAATCAACGTAAAGAAAAACCAAAATAATCTACTATTACTTTGTATGGCGGTTATAAATTTAGAATCACATTTATCACAAGTCATAATTGCTTAGGGAATACATTTCCAATTTATTTATTTTATAAACATAACTGTTTTTTTACATATTGCTTACATTTCTCAAATGACAGCTGTCTTATCGACACTGAAAAATATCTAATGAAAAAAGTTTGACATATCTTATAATGTCTATGGAAGAAGGAATAGATAACATAATTAGTGCAAACCTTATTTTTTAATATTCCCCACATTTAAAGGTAAAGTTTCAAATTATTATGTAGATATGTTCGTTATCCTCACATTAAAAAAGGTCTTTTCTTATGTCGCATTATAAGAATCTTTGGTCTCGTTTAAGTTAAACAGGTGTTGTATGGATTATCCGTTTAATGCTCTACAAACCTTAGTTCATAGTTCATCCAGCTACAGATTCATTGGGTCAAACAGAGTTATAATATTTGGTCTAAGTGGTAAGTTATTAATTTCTAAGTAAGAGATACTAGTCTCTTAGTAATTTCTTCAATAAAGTTCATTATTGTACAGTTCATGATGAAACGTATCTGCTTAAAACATCTCATAATCTCAGTCTCACAAAGTGATGTAACACAAAATATATTTGTAAATTGGTACCTTCTTGTTTGTTCAGTTGCATTGGTCACTACAACGTCGACAGTAGCAACACTGATACAGGGACCACAAAAGGTAAAGTATCACAAATATCAGTATGCCTGATATGTAATACACGTGGAGGCTGGTCGATTTCAAAGCTTGACAACATTCATCTTCATCGCAACAACTCATCATTAAAAACAGTATAATTTTGCTATTTTTATCAACATTGTTTTGTTTATTAAACGTAATCCACGTTAAATTAAAATCCACTTCTTCATTTTGTTATTTTGTGTTACACAGTACATTGCGGGAATATTTGGGATATCTGATGTGTGATGTGTGACAAACTGGTGACATATATTGTATTTGACATTAATAATGACAGAGAATGTAAAAGATACAGATAAAAAGATAGAGCCCACATGCTCACTGTCCAGGATCAACATGTTCTTGTTTATTGTTATAGAGCCTGACCAATATAATTTCTCTACTTCTAACTTTTCACCGTTTTCTTATAAGGAAAGGATGGGAAGGGGAGGTGGTATGGACGGTATGGAACGCATACCAAGGGGAAATATTCTCTTCCTGTGCATCCGCTCCTCCGGCGATTAAAGGAAGGTAACGCATTTGCTATTGCTGCTGGCAGCGGTCGCCTTGCTTTTAGATGAATTCAATGGCCGCTTGCTCATTTGTCACCTAAAATATAAACAAATACATATAATTGAAGTTTTTTTTTGTTTTCAAGAAGAATATGAATATTCTTTTATGAATCGTTAAAGAATATCTTCAGTGACATCGTTGTAAAAGTACTTGACGGAAAATGAAACAAATAAATAATATCAACACTTATATATTTAGTAATATTACATGTTAACTGCTAAAAAGTAATTAAATTCCATAATAAAAAATACGTAGCAGTCATTAAGTTGAACTTATTGTTTAGATACTCGTGTAATAAGTAGAATCACTGTTTAAACATATGCACATACTAAATGCACTTATTATCAGTAAACTTACAATATTATCTACTTAAGCTATTTGGTTGAACTTACAGCCTACCAACACTCACAATAATATACTATTCATCTCTGCATAACATCTTTTGGTAAAATATCTTACATTTTATAATATCACCGTTTACGAAGGTACTCTATTATAATGGAGAAAAGCTTCGTTATCCTCACTATAGATGTCGGCATAATCAAGAGTGATTACCACTAAATATACGACAGACATACAAAAACACTATGTTATATACAAAGTAGGCAACAACGCAACGACTTCCGTCAAATTTCACATGGTTCATAATTTATTTATAATAAAAAATAAACGCATTTTATAATATCGCTGCAATGATGTATAAAAAGTTTGACAGATGACAGCTCACTCTTGGCGCTAGCGCCTTCTTCTTGGAGTTTTCAGTTTTTCTCCCCATTATATTATTCACTCATTATAAATTCACTTATTCGTTTATTAACCTTATTCTTAATATATTACATTTCATATAAAAAATAAAAAATTATACAAAATTTATTATATTAAAAATAGAGCACCACCGGCTGCGGAGTCCCATGACTCAAACAACCAGTGGTTTCATTCATTATATTATATTATTCAGTTTATTCAGTTTGATATCACTGATTTTACATTACACTGGTTTTTAAGCATTTGTGTATTAACTGTTAATACTATTGTTGTTTTGTCTTTAATAGAGACCATTAAAAAAAAGTATGCTTAATATTTTTTTCACTACATGACATAATTATTTACAAATTCATAATATTCTAAATTCTATTGTGGATTTATACTAAAGTATTTTGCTTTCGCTACTTCAAGCAATGCTTTCATCTCTCCCGTTTCCCGTACCATGGAAGTGAATTTGCTGTTAGAATTTTGTAGGAGACGGTAAGGATAGTCGTATTCCACTACTTCTCCCTGATCCATAACCAGGACACGGTCAGAGTCCATGATTGTGTTCAGACGGTGAGCAATGGTGAGTACCGTGCACTCGGCGAATTGTTTACGAATCGTTGTCTGGATTAATGCGTCCGTTCTGAAATTATTAATTTCTTGTTATGTGTCTCGAAATGTCACTTATTGAAGAAAATTTGTGGACTGATCCAGTTGAACATTATTGCGGAAAGTAAAGGATGATGAAGACATTTCCCAAAGCCTTCTTGGATACAGATAAGAAAGGCTTATTTTCAGAGGTAGACTGATATTGGCTGATTATGTTGTTAACCACTGTTAATTTCACTAAATTATTGATATAATAAACCGATATTTTATATAGGATACAGAAGCGCTTGACTACGTTCTTGTTTACTCACTGAGGATCTACGTTGGCAGTCGCTTCATCCATGACGAGAACCTTGTTAGACCGTAGAATTGCTCTGGCCAGGCACACCAATTGTCTTTGACCAACTGAAAAGTTAGCGCCACCTTCCGAAACTTTGAAGTCCAAGGCAGGAATTGCATCTTTTAGTTCCACCTGATAGGTATTTTATAAATCATAAAGTACAATTGAAAAAAATCCAATCATTTTTTTATGTTCTTGATAAAGAAAGAACTAAAACTAAAAATTTAAACCTGATACGGAAAATATTATTATATAGGCTCCTCGTTGTGACCTTTAATAAAATATGCTTGATTTTTAGGTTGTTATTTTGTCGAATATACAATGAATTAGACTTCTTTCTAAAATTAACTTAATAATTTTATACCTGCTCTAAGGCTCTCCAAATGTCATCATCGCTATAACTATCGAAAGGATCCAAATTATATCTCAGCGAGGCAGAAAATAGAACTGGCTCTTGTGGTATGATTGAAATCTTTGATCTGAAAATCTAAAAGAAATATAACAAGAAATTAATAAGTCACTTACTTTGAAAATAGCTTAACTCAATTTTTTCCGATTAACCAATGTTCCATTACAACTTCATGTAACTACATTTCAGGTTTCTTATATACCAATCAAATACAAATATTCGGCATACATAAATTATTAGAGTTAATTCAAAACCAAACATGTTTCTACAGCCCGAAAATGGCCTAAATCAATTTAGCTATACTTAAATCAAGATATTTACAATTGATTCGCAACTAGATTCCTTATAAAGGAGGTAACTAATTGTACTACAAATTAAACAATTAACTTACCGCCTTTCCTACTTCACGTGTATCTATTCCGTCAATTTTGATACTTCCATCAATATCTGACAAGCGGAATAAAGCCGATATAAGTGAAGATTTGCCAGCTCCGGTTCTGCCAACGATTCCAACCTAAAATCACAAAATATAACGTTATACCGCATTCTTTAACAATAGATTAAAAGTATTTAAAATCACTCACTTTCCATCCGCTGTCTATTTCGAAACTCAAATTCTTTAGTACCAAGGGATCATCAGGACCATATCTTAAGCAAACATTTTCGAATTTCACCCGTCCTTTTGAAGGCCAATCTTGTGATGGTTTAGTAGCTATAAAAAATAAATAAAATATTAACGATACACTTTCATATGGACTATGAATATACAAATATGATTCTTACGTCCAGTTTCCATATTATCCTCTGCTGGTAGTCTTGAATATTCGAGCACTCTTTCTACTGAAGTCATTTGACCAAGAAGATCGGCAGTAATTCGGGCGGCCATTTGCAACATCATTGTTAGAACCATGGATTGACTTACGGCTAATCCAATGCTACCGACGGGTATAATGTTACCTGTATAGAAGAAATACGACCTTAATGTCATACAAAAATCTTTTCAACAAATCTACGTGCATCTATGTAAAACTCACCAAAATCGAAAAGAAGGAAAATAGTTATAATAATTGCGAGATAAATCAAACACAAAGTGTCCAGGTAAAAACCGAATGCCGCAGAACCTCCCAGGAACGTGTAAAATGCACTTGAATTGACGTCCTAAAACATTAAGATTGGAGAATTAAGCAAAATATAACAATAAATACAACACAAAAGATAAATAATGAAAATTTACTTGTGCTTGATCAAAAATTGTGAGCAATCTATTTTGTGAGTTTGAACTTCTGATTGTTGACAATCCAGCTATTGTGGAATTGATCATACTGAACACTGGACTTTTGGCTGCAACAAAAACAATAAATTATAAAATGATCCTTATATTGAAAAACCAGTGAAGTCAGGCTAGCAGTGTTAGAAAGGTATGTTGACATTTAATATATGAACTATAAGAAATAAAACAACGAGTTGTACGTACTTGTGCCTTCTAATCTTTTGACGGCTTGTGAAGCTGCAATATACCATTTTAACAGAAACATGAATATAAACAGCAAGACAACTGTAGGTATCAGAGTCCATGGTAGTGCTATAGCATTGAGCACTAAAATACTGATTACTGACAAATACATTTGTAAAGTCTCTAAAATACTTCGTGGTAGCAATTCGTCCATTGCACCCATGTCTTTGGAAAATCTATTTAAGATTCTACCTGTAAAAATAAAGAAGAGAGAAAAATAAGAGATTTATATGATAGTATGTAAAATTACAAACAAGATTTCAGTAATATTTACCAGAAGAATTCGTATCAAAAAATCTCATCGAAGCATTTATTAAATTTTTAAACACAGAGTTATGGAGATTTTTGGAAGCTCGTGTTGTCATCGTTACAAAAGCGATTATTCTCACTTGTGTTATGATAATGATAAATATTATAATGCACCCGTATATTAACAAGTATTGTCCAGTGGTCAAAATGCCCATTTCAACATCTAAACCGGGGTCTGAAAGAGAAAAGTAAATAAAACACATAAGAAATATGTGATACTACAATTAAATTGATAACAAAGTTAGTAAGTAATCAACAAGTTGAATTAGAAAACGTGGCCGTAAACATAGATTACCTGGTTCAACGCCCGCTGGTAACGACTGTTCATGTAAATCAACTTGATTAGTCCTGTAACAAGCAATAAATTATTCTTACCTATATTTTGTCTATAGGTCTAGAAAAAAAAACTATCGCCGGTACGTTAGCGCTAAACGTTACAAGGTTATATCACGTACAGCAATATATCTTAACATCTTTTAATCATAAGTAATAAATTTTTCCTACCAGAAACTTAGCCAGTAATCAGCCGTTGTCGCCGCAGCCTGTGTCAAGAGAAGTGCAAATAGTGCCACTGTCACAGCCCACACTGACTCCACTGATCTAATGTAGTTTGTGACCACGCTCCATTTTAAGGTACCCTTAGCTCTCTCCTCAGCATCCAATGTTTGTTTCTTGTAGACTTCATCATCATCTTCGCTTTTAATGGAAATTCTTGATATACCTCGCTCCACAGTTGGACGTGTTGCCTAGAAAATGATGTGATCTTTTTAATTTATTCAAAAAATTTATGTTACATTTCATTGCGCAATTTTTTTGGCATCGGCATTTAATATTTTTGCTTAAGTTTCCATATTTTACCTTGCCTGTACCATCTTCACCTTCAGTATTAGATTCGCTTAGACTAGTTAGTAATAATGAGAACTCTTTTTCGGATTTTATTAATTCATCGTATGTACCCATATTCTCTATTCCTCCCTGAAAAAGATTATTTATTTAATCCCCTACCGTACAAAATATTTGTAGATAATACGCGCACACAAGATTGATAAGATGGGACATGTGACGTGTAACTTCTTGCTCATTAGCTGCTTTTACGCAGCAAGTAAAAGTTTTAAAATTGTTAAAGGAAATTCGATTATTCACAACGCAACCTCTTTTATGAACTAGATACAGGTGACGTCACTCAACATCATTGAAATTCTGATAAATGTAAACATGCAGCTGATAAGAAATACTTAGTAATAGTTTCATACGAACATCATTAAGAACAACGATATAATCAGCAGCTTTCAAGAAGTGAATCTGATGTGTGACCAGGATGCGAGTGCTGTCGCGCAAGTAACCGTTGATACATTCATCAAACAGTTGACGACCAACATTGGCGTCTACTGCCGACAGAGGATCGTCCAATAAATATATGTCGGCCTGAAAAGATAAGAAGTGTTAAATTCATTAAACATTTCTTAACTGAACGGAGCGTTTAGTTTAGAATTAAATAAAATAAAGAATGCATAGAAGTAAACCAAGAAGAAGTACTAGGAAAGTTATAATAAATTATGCAGTTAACTTACTTCTCTATACACAGCTCTGGCTAGGTTAATCCTAGCTCTTTGTCCTCCAGACAGCGAGACACCACGCTCTCCCACTAATGACTGATCTCCAAATGGAAATTGCTTGAAATCTTGCACTAGTGAACACACTCTACATACCTAAACAAATAAAAAAATGTTTACATGTGACAAATAATGCGATAAACATGTTTAGCCCGGTAATCAAAGGTAAATTAAAAATGATATCCAATCAAAATTACTTTTTTCTATCGTTACCTCCTTATATTTCCGTGCGTCGTACGGTAATCCAAACAATATGTTATCACGAACGCTTGCCGGGAACAGCCAGGATTCTTGACAGGCGTAAGATAGTCTACCGTTCACGTTAAAGCTTCCCTCGCATATTGAAAACTCCTTCAAAAATACTTGCAGCAAAGACGACTGAAACAAAACACATTTTAAATAATGTATCCAAGCTTTTAGTACAGTCATAAGATATAACACCAATTTAAAAACTCGAATAGAATAATAAAACATGTTTACTTTTCCACTTCCGACTGGTCCAATTATAGCGCATAATTTCCCTTTCCGAAGTCGCATCGAAATATTCTTGAGAGTCAGTCTGTCTTTAGAATTAGTCCACGAAGCACTCACTCCATACACCTCCACTGCATTCTCGAAGGGAGTATTTAGGGATATTGCTGGTTTTTCTGAAATATTATCATTCTCTTTTAGAAATCACAAAGAGAATATCCATTTAGTTTAAAGTTATCGAATTCACATATCTACAGCCTGGTAAACAATAATCACCAAGCTCCATTTCTTGGTTGTAGGTGAACTTGGACTCATTACGATTTGATTAAAAATCTTACCAGCTGGTCTCAGAGCTGATTGTTTGTCCAATGATAGGTATTTCGCAGCGACAACAGGATCAGAAAGCTTGGGCATCTTGTTACCGTTGAAAGTTATAGGATTTACCCCGGTTGTTATATCTTTTAGAGGCTTTAGATCGTCTCTCTCCTCTGTGGGACACAAGTAATACAATGAGATAGTGTAAGTGTATATAGATTTTAAAGATCAAAACTAGTATTATATTAGGTGTGATAAAGTAAAATTGCTGGCCAGCGAGGAGACCAAATTCCCTGTATGAAACATATCATCATCCCTATCATTACCTTTGACAAAACAGAGATAATTATATAACCATATTAAGCGGAGATTCCAGTCTCAAAAACTCACGATTACGTATCTTTGTGAATTTTTGAATTCACTTCAGTTCAGTAATAATGATTTTATGAAACACGACAACTGCATCTTACCCATCATAAGAACACCTTGTATACGTTCCAGTGCTACGAACATTTCCGACAAACTTGCTATTGCTATTGGCAGGATGAAAGTCAAATTCATTTGAACGATATTGAAAAACTGTTGGATCGGGTATATCTGTAATGAATAGTTCTATTATAGAAAAAATACTTAAAGAGCAACTATTATAGAATCACAATATTTATAATAGTATTCGACTTAAAATAGTAGTTTCTTACTAAATTAGACCTATAAAGTTTGATTTTTAAGATTCCAATTATCGAATATGTACTAAAATGGCTACGTAGGGAAATAAAAAAAAGGAAACACCATACATAGATGATACAATAGTGGCTAAATAAATGGAGACACCATAGATGGTCCAACATACTAGTAGTAATAGGTGCTGAGTATTTTTCAACGGAAGGAAACAGTAATTTCTCGACTTGCCGACGATTTCGACTTAACGAGATTCGAGTTATAGAATTACTAGCTGTCGCCCGCTAGCGCGCGGAATTGAAAAAAAACTTAATTATTAGCCTATGTGTTTTTTCAGACTAAGTTCTACATCTATATGTCAAATTTCAGTGAGATCTATGCAACCGTACCGTGCAAATACATACCTTCTAACAAACATCCATCCATCCAATCGTACTAATTTATATAATAATATTAATAAGATAAAGTTTCCACTATATGTATTATAATTCATAATAGAAAAACAGTGATCAGAATTTTTTCAACTGATAGCATAATAAGGTTACATTATAAAATTGTAAGATAATTTATATATCACGATTATCATAAAATGATAAATTCCTACTTAGTGATTCAAATTAAAATATATATAAAAAAGTTATCTAGTGTTAAAAAAGGTTATTATATACCAATCAAGTTGGTGACACATCAAGACATGAGAGAGACATACAAGACAAGAAAGAGATATTTAAGGAAAGAGGTAATATTTATCATTAGCATGACTTCATTAAAAAAAATTAACATATATAAATCCTTCAATGCGAGCTTAAAATGTTTTCACTGTATTACTAAGTATTAAATTATTTTACAAACTTAGCATGTATAAAGGTGTCGTAAAAAATGTTCATGTTATGTCTAAATAAAAAGTACAATATCAGTGAATCATGGATGATAAAAATTATCGTATATTTTATAACGCATGACAGATTCATGTGAGTACCCATATTGGAATTTGTATCATCAATTAAAGATATTCATATCTAAAAAAAAATTACATATTATTTTGTAAAGCATTTAATAATGACTGTACAATTTTTTAAAATGATGCAATATGATGTCTAAGAACATGACACAGCAAATGTTTGTACAGAATATAATCTGCGTCTAACTGATAATTAGGCATTGAAAGATAGAAACATATTCGCTGTGTAATAAAATATATTGATTATTTCATATCTAAACAATATGAGTCACTGTTTCTTAATCTCACACTTTTATTTATTAACAACAATTATATTTCTCCTAAGTATTACACACTACACTATAAAAACCTTATTAAGTTAGTGTAGATTACGAATAACTAGCTGTCGTCAGTGACTCTCCGGGAGAAATTAAAAAAAAACATAATTAATAGCCTATATGTTCTACATTATGTTCCACATCTTCGCCAAATTTCATTGAGATCCATGCCATTCTGAAGACACCATTTAACAAAGAACTACCCATCCATACATCAAAACGTTCGCATTTATAATATTAGTAAGATACATACCGTGGTAGCGGTGAGTATGGATCCCGTAAGGACTATAGTAAGAGATGTGATGAACAACGTGGTTCGTTCAGTAAACAACATGAAACCAACGAACACGCTCCGTACAAATATAGACCTTTGCAGATACTTCAGTTCATTAATTCGAGAAAGTCTGACCATGGTCTGGAAGGGTTTCTCCCATGCATACATTTTTATAACCTGTAAAAGACTTTTTATAAGTGAATGTTACAATTAACGTATAGATATTTAGACATAATATAGACTCTCTTTACCTGAATTCCGTTGATGAATTCATTCATCAATTTTATTCTCCTGTCTGTGCCTTGCGCGGTCGCTCTTCGCACAATGGAAGTCAATTTAGTGAGACCGGCTAAAACAAACAAATTTAATTTGCATATAAAATAAGAAAGCAAAACTAAAATTGCAAAATTTAAATAAATATTAATATTTACCTTGAACGGGAAGTACTAAGATAAATACACCAAAGAGTCCGACATATGGTGCAAAACCAGCTGTGTAGTACAATAATACTAATACGACACACAATTGTATTGGTACCAGCCAGAAGTAATGTAGGAACATAAAGGCGAAGTCAAATCTAGCAACATCATTCGATAGCAGATTCACAAGCTTTCCCGCCGCTACTTCACCCAAAGAGGTTTGACTCATTCTTAACACCTAAAAAAGAGAAACGCTTTAAATCATCGGTAGATTAAGACATTACTGAAGTAGCCGATAAGAATTCTTAATTATAAAATGATAACAATTTCTTACACTATTAATTCTTCAAGATTATTTAGAAGAAGTTTCAAGTTAGTGCCAAATTCAACAACACATTCGTGAATGTGCCAATTTACATTTTACAATTACATTTATCTTCAGACATTACAGGATGCTTAGGACCGATAAAGTTCTAATTACGTTCGATTTTTCATCGGTAATTCGGTTTACTTTGTTTACTTTTAATTACATTTTGTTAAGATCTAATGTAAAAATATATTACCTTTCTATATATAAGAGAAGACACGCCAACTTTAACTTTTAAACTAAAGCTATTAACGAACAATGCGTTGTGATGATGACATAAAAATCCGAGGAAGTTAAGACCCAGCATGCCGAGTGCGTAGTAAGCTGCCTCTTGAACAGTCAGTGAAGACTCCACGGACCAGTAAGACAGCAGTTGAGTGAATAGTAAGGGCTGGGCAGTCCTGTACATATAAAAATCAATTACTCATGTGTTTTCACGACGTAAAATTAAATTGATTCAAAATGTATTGTTATATCTTTCCTTAATTTAAAGTGGACAATATATGTACACGCGTTTAGTTTTATCCATGGCTATATTATACAGGATACAACATTTTTTGGTTATTTTATACTGTCAAAATATAAAAATAATACATTAGCTGACATAACAATTACTGTTTAATTCATCATCATCACCCTGGCCATATCCCACGCGAGAGTTCGACGCGCAAGGTTTTATAAACCTCCAAGTTTTGGTTTATTTAAAAAAAATTAGTTGCTTGTTTGACACTACACTTACTATTTAATTACTAATATGTATCATATAGTTTGCATCTATATTTGTCATCATATAGTTTGCATCATATCACATAGTTTGCATATTAATTTAAAAAAAATATCAGTCAATAGTCAGTATAAAAATTAAGTGAAAATTTTTAATAATACAAACCTTGCCACAGTATTTCCCAACAGTAAAAAAGCACCGGGCATGTAAGACAGCCAAAATGAACGAACCATTGCTTTCCAAAGCGACGGTTTTTTATTTTTTCGGGCTGCATTTTCGACTTCTGCCAACCAATATCTTTAAAAAATAAAACGCATAGCATAAAATTAGATACAATATATTTAAAAAAGCATCAGACTACACTTTTTACGTTAAACAAGAATGAGTAATTACACTAAGCAACTCAATAATTAAGTTATCTAATCTATTATAAGTGCGTCAATTACCTAAACAAAGAAGGAATAGTCAGTGGTGGTAAAAAATATTCGTCATCTTAAAGACATTTTTGGCACAAAAGACGCTGACAACATTAATCTTATATCTTTAAATGAGTAATTCTATATATTTGGAATCTCGGAATCGGCTCCAACGATTTTCATAAAATTAAGTATGTAGCGGGTTTCGGGGGCAATAAATCGATCTAGCTAGGAATCATTTTTTAGAAAATGTTATTTTATTCGTGTTTTATCGATAATCAACTTAAACATAAACTTGGAAGAAAAATAACAAAAAGGAGGCGTTTGAGTAGTCTCAACAGTAATTCGTACTTAAATATATAAATATAATTTCCAAAAAACACAATGTAAAAAAAAATCCCGAGCAAAGCTCGGTCATCCAGGTACTATGTATAATAACAGAAAAATGTTTGATAACGAGAATAGAGAAATATATTGATAAAAGTTGTTATGAATAATATAAGTTGCCATTCGGAGACTAGCCGCCTTAATTTTCTAACTGTTTACAAAATTTCGAACTCGCTTGCGCGGCTTTAGTTGGCGGAGTGTGGCACACGCCAGCGAGAAGGCAACTCCCACTGGATTCGCCGAAAAATAGGAGCGTTCTAATCAGCGTAACTTAACCGACAACTAATTACTTAACTCGCTTTTGTCATCCAAACGAAAACAACAACATGGATGCAAGTTAACTTGATGTATTTAACTGTACTTGTTATAGTGTAAATCAGGTTTTAGTGCTATTAGCTTTGGTTCTGACATAAGCGCACGAAAATAAAGAAAATATTAAGTACAACGTAATAAAAAATCATATTAAACGTAATTTATCGCGCCCAATCAATATCGTTTGGTGACAAATATGTATAAAGATATCGCCGAGGTCATATGGAACATCATTATTATAGTTATAGCCTGGACGTGTTGCTATGGACAATCTTAAAATTACTGTTCGGCTTGTGACTATATCACGTTAAAAAAAGTACTTGATTAATCAGTCAATTCATATGTCAAAAAAGGCTTAAAATACTGCTTACATGATGTCAACCTACTATTTGATCAATTGATACAGTCGTAATCGACTTTAGTGAACCTTTTCCTCGTTAGTTTTACATATGTTATGGTTTGGGATTTTATATCTGTTAAAACTATGAACCTATTTATACACCCAGATATTTTTTATTAAGCAATACTTTTTTTTTCTTAAAAAAGAAAACAAAGTAACTCATAAAACGTAAAATAAATACATGTCTGATGTAAAAGAAAATCTATCTATCTATCTATCTTTTTATTTCATTGCATTAATGTTCAAACTGAGCTGATTCGAGTTCATCAAAGAAAAATTGACTGTTAATTTTATTATATTATAATTACATATATTATAATAAAAGATTTTAATAAGTTTTATCTTTTTGTAGGGTTTTTGTTTAGTTGATTTACTACGATTAAAATTATTGAAATTGATAATGTAAACAAAAACAGTATATAACTTATCTAGCTTAGTGGGTAAGATATATTTTACGTTAGTGATTTAAAAATATTTTTTTGTTCAAATAATAAAATTTTTGTGCGACTCCTCCTCCGTCGATGAAAGGTAGGCAACGCATCTGCAATTGCGGATGTCTATGGACTGCGGTCACTTCGTTATTTTGGCCAATTCAGGTGACCGCTTGCTCGTTTGCCACCTTATAATGTATAAAAAAAGCGAAAAAAAACTGAAAGTAATATATTTGTTCTTCATCGATCAAAAAAAAATTTGTATAATAATTAAAAATCTTACCTTTCAAACCTATCACCAAGAAGTTCCGAATCATATTTTTTTGGAGGATTGATCAAATCACTTTCTTCCACATCTCTAACATTTCCTTTATATATCACAGGTAATATCCAACATAGGAAGATTCTCGATAAAATATTGGGTTTATTTCTTTTTTTATACGAGTTTTCGTCATTTTTCACTTTCGACTCCATTTTGTTTAATGTGCGCACTTACTCGTGCGTACATTAAATGTTACACGGCACCGAACGTGTACTGACAAAGGAATATTACTGTTCAAGCTAACGACTATTTATTTAATCGCTTAGACCCAATACGCAAAAGATATCAACTGCTATCAGTATGATTAACTTACAGGATAAGTGATGTAGTACAATGTTTTAATGTTCATCATTATTAAAAGCAAAAAAAGTATGTAGTAAAAAAATCGTGCCATTTAATTAAAGAATTTTCTTAATATTACTCATAAATGTTTGCACCTATACGATTATTAAATAAATTATTAATGCTAACTTTCTTAACAATCATGTTTCGGCATTAAAAACAATATTGATATAAAATTCTGATTGAAATTAAACAATTTAGTTAGAAATAAAATGTTTAATGCCACAGTTCAATTTAATGAAAACTGACAAAACCTAGTTTCAAAATGACACAGTTTCATTATGCACCGGGCAGACATTAGGGCATAATGAGTCACAGGTACATTTGCAGTTCTCTAATTTACGTTCAATGTTATCTATCAACATTTTGACATGACATATTGGCACCAGTTCACAATCACAGTTGACTGATCTAACGCCACGCAATAAAACATCATCGCTATTCAATAGAGCTTTACTTTTTTCACGATTCGAAAGGTAGTCTATAGGCAAGTTTAATGAGTCATAAAGCTTGCTTTTATTCGTAGATGCTTCGTTAATATTTTGACTGTAATAAGATTCACAATCGTCCCAGTCATTGTAACTTGAATAGTCGACGTCATCGAAGGTGCGAGATGTATTTGTAGAATTATGTATACCTGGTTCTAAATTGTGAGTAGATATTTTTAACCTAATTTCATCTTTATTTAGATTCGCGTCTATTACTTTTTCACATATACAGCTATTTTTTTTAACCAAATTATGATCATCGTAGTCAACAATTTTAACAGGAATCGTATTTGAGTGTTCGCCAATAGCACCTTGCATTATATAGGATGTATTTATATTTTCCTTAACTTTCCAAATATCATCATAAATATTTTTATTTTTGGCCAATGCAGATTTTGCACATACACATGGACCTAACATTTTATCACAGGTACAATCTAAAGTATAACCAATGTAAGGTATAGAAAGACTGTGTCTGACTTCTTCAAAATTATTATTTTCTTTAGTCTCAGGAGCAATGGATAAAAGTACTTTCCCATCCAAATTTTTCTGCAAACTGAATGTGGAGGTCAATTGACTTGTTAAGTTCTTACATCTCAAATCTGAGCATTCACAAAAAAAAGAGTTTTCTTTATTGGCGTTTTCTGGTGTTAATAAACTGTTCTGCCCGGTTTTTACTTCGAATTGTAATAATTCGGAACTCTCTATCTCGTTCGTTTTTAATTCTTCAGTGTCAGTTAATAAAACACTAGCTTTTTCGGTACTATGAAATGTGCTCATTTTATGAGGCATGTTACAAATAGAAATAAGCATCTGACTTGTATCATTAGCAATATCTTTTGTAAGAATTTCATTTATTGATTGTTTTTTGTCGTTCTGGTTTGAATTTTCTCTAAAATTATGTTTATCTATATTGAATACGCTTCTTTCAATATAAGCGTGTTTCAATTTTTTAAAATCATCTTCAATTAATTGGCAAACTTTATCTAATATCCCGGGTAATACAGAGCTAGAGTTTTTAATTGTTACAGTACAAGAACATGTAATTCGCTTAATTTTATTTCGTAAGTATTCTTGCAAAAGACAAGAAGCGCGTTTCCAGCTGGCGTCTATATTATCATTCTGATTATCTTTCAAACAGGTACATAGAACTTCGTCATTCATGTCTAAAATTAATTTCTTCACTTTCTTTATTATGTCATTATACAAAACGTCTTCCTCATAAGGTAGCATATTAGAAGTTTTGTATGAAGTTAATTTAAAATCTTCTAGCTTTTTCTGCAAATATTCCGTTAACAATTCAAAAGTATTTAATTCTAAATCATCGCTTTCGTCAACTTTATTGCAACAGATACAGTTAAGATTTTTGCTCAAAATTACGTCATTATTTTGTAAAAAACTATCATAATGTTTACTGTTCGAGCTTTGTTTTATGTCCAACTCTGTGTATTGACAATAGGTTGATGACATTAAGTGAGGAAAAGTACCTTTCTTCACAAGTTGATTTTTAGAATAAGTACTAGTACTAACATTGTTACTTTCATTATTAGTTAACGTAACTCCTAAAAATTCTACAGGACAAACAGAATAAAATGAGGTTTCAGATGATTCTGCTATTTGATTGGACTTTGATATTAAATTAACATTATGTTCATTCTGGCGCGAAATAAAACTTTGCACGCTAGTTTGTGTGTTACAAAATTTTGATTCTGCATTTATACACTTGTAACTTTTATCAGGAATTTGACAATCTTGTTGATTTATTGTAATTTTTGTCATATTTATGTTTTCCTTGCTCCTGCTTTGTATAGTTTTTTCATGGTCACCATCATTACACAAATTAATGTCTTTGCAGATTACTTTATTTCTACCACTAGTTTCATCTTCCAAACTATTAATTTGTAGAGAAATGCTGGGATATTTAATGAATGAATCAATATCAGGATTAATAGTATCAATTAACTTTGATTCAGGTTCCATAGATTTTACTTCGTCAATGGTACTTGTAAATATATCTTTATGTAATTTTACGCCATAATCGTATTCACTTATTAAATTTTTTAAACTCTCATTATTAACAAATTCAGCTGTTTTAAATTCTTCATGTCTAAAGATATCTAGTAACTTATTAAGCGAAGTACTTGAAGGTGCTTTGTTCAAACATTTACATTCCCTACAAGAGCAATTCATTTCAAAAGGCTTATTCATTTGTCTTTGATGTATTTCTATAGGGTTTTCTGCTAAATTCGGTATTACAAAAGGTAATGTATTTTTACAGACAAATGATGAAGTAATTTTATCTGGGTCGATTTCACAGATAATATTTTCCTCTCGTACAAAATTCGGTTCATTGATTTGATTTGTAGATAATAGAGCCAGCGCTTTTTCATTTTTTTCTCTTTCACATAAACATAAATTAACTGCATAAGTCTGATGCCGTCTTTTTGAATTTCTGCTAACATTTCTATTTGACGTACATTGATTTATGTTATTTTTCTTTGGTATTTCCCTTGATTTACTTGATTCGATCAATCTTTTCTTCGTACTGTTTAGCAGCCAATTAGGTAAGTTGTCATTTCTCTCTGTACTAACTGCCCGGTGATGATATATTTGATTGATGTTCATTATATTTCCAGTTTTTTTAGATTCTGCAAGCGATAAGTTATTGCTTGCTCCCTAAAAGATAAATAGTCGTCAATATTTATTATACAGAAAGGTACTATTATAATTTTTGGATACTTACATGTGATCGTAAAATTTTATTAGTGGTTCTGTCTTTGGTAGGCTTTAAAATATTTTTCTTCGCTACTTTCTGTAAAGTATATATGTTGGTTTATAAAAGTAAACATAACAAATATAAAATGAAACAGTATAAGAAGCGTGATTGCACCGTTTTTTTGTCCAATACTTGAGTAAGTTGTAGTTGCGTGACATTTTTTAAAGTAGCATTCCGTACAGCAGAAGGATTTTTGAGATCGTTAGTACTTTTATTGTGAAGATTTGATAAATCCGTTTGTGTCCTACGTCCACCTGAGTTGTCATTATCTGTATCGTAAAAATAACTATATAAATTTATAGAAAATTTCAACATAATCAATGGTGTTTAATATTTTTTGTTTCATTATATTACAATTACGATAATCTAAACTTACTGGACTTGGTACCACATTCACAAGGCGGTGGTGTTAATTTCAAAACGTCTTTAGCCTTTTCCATTAATTCGTCAGCTTTTTCTTGGAATAGCTGTTCAGCTAGTTGCTTTGCCATTTTTTGTGCCCGATTTTCTAACGCTCGTTGCTGCCACTCTTCTAATTCGACGTCAATCGGTATTCTTGTTGTCTCGTCCATACATGATGTGCCAACCCACTTATTTAGAAATGACAATAATATTTTACTATAAGAATGGAGACTAAAATAAATAGTACTAAAAATACATAATTTAAGACAAACTTTTTCAAAATTTAAAAGTTAATAAAATCACAAATTCAAGCAATAGTCACCACATACCTTCACATGATATTTTTCAATGCTCGAACCAATTGCTATATCGAGCTCACCAACAAGCAATTTTGAAAAGAAATTACGAAGGTTCGTCTTGACAGCGCTGGAGCGGTCCCAGTTATGCTTGTCTTCTAAACACTTGAGCAACTCGCATGGCATAATCGAACCATTTTCACCCAGCTCAGATTGCAATCCCGCAAAGAGGTCTTTCAGTAAATTCGACATAACACTACTTCTTAGTGACGTACAGGAACATGATTCCTAAAATTAAAGTGTACAATAAACTACCATTTTGTTATAAAAAAAAACTGAACTAAGCATATGTCATTGTATAAATATTTCTCCAGTGTATACACACTTCATGCCAAAAACAATTAATTTAACAACTTAGGCTTATCACTTAAATTATAAGTACGAAGTAGTATGCATAGTACGCGGAAAAGAAATAATCTAGATAGAATATGCATATTCAGCAGAAACAAAAAGGCGAATTAAAAGTGAGTAAGAGATTACATTTCTGGGCCACCGTATTATCAAACTTTAAAAAAACGTGTGTGCATTTATTCATGATCTAATTCTTATTGAATTTGGCGCAGCTATTAATTACATGATTTTCTAATAAAACAAGTTAGTGTTAAAAAATAATACCTGAATATTATCATCAGAACAACATCGACAAACCGCAGCCAGGGATGGTGTTCGTTTTACTTCCACGGAAATATCTTGTGGTAATTTACAGCGACATTCCATTGCTTTTTCTTTCAATTCGGCAAGTTTCTCTGTTTTTGTTTTCAATTCAGTTTTTTTACCTTGCAGAAGATGATCACACATTATTTTACAAGCATCGAGATCTTCAAGAATATTACTTTTGTTGACTCGCATCTCATCAAGCTGAAATTAAGAATTCTATGGTCACGTGTTTTGTTACAAAAATCTTCGACACCATTTTTCGACACGTTAGTGAATAAATCAGTTTGTAATGTGATAAAGCAGATTATCAAGGGACAATGCATCTCACGACTACATTCGATTACTAAATATAATTCAATGAAAAATTCAATTTCTATGACAAATGTTAGTTTGGTGCTATGAAAATACAAGAACCTCATTTTTGATGCTTTGATTTTCATTTTCTTCTTGTAAAAGTCGTTTAGAAACTTTTGCTACTTGATCTTTTAAGGCACTTAGTTCAGTACGCAACGCTCTCTCTGTATCATATTTAAGTCCCCGATACGATTCTGCAGTTTCTTCTAAGCTTATAACTCTTCTTTTAGCTTGTTCTTCTTTAAACTAAAATAAAAAAATATATAACTAAACTCGATTTTTATCAATACGGACACACCTAATGCAATCTATCCTGGCAACCGGTAGCGTTTATCAAAAATAAATTTTTTAACCGTTTATAAACTAAAAAAAAATAAAAATATATTCTATTTACATAATATGCATTTCAATAGAATAACAAAATATAATTATTGAACTTATAGCTACACAATAAGTCTTACCAAAAGATCTCTTTCAGTTTGCGAGATGCGGCAATGGTGCTGCGCCAGAGTGGATGACACGGATGCTATTTCTTCGCTTAATTTGAACTTCTTTTTCGTACGCTCACAAAGTTCAGATTCAATTTTCTTTAATTTTTCAGTTTCATTCTGCACAATCGCATCTCTATCCGCGAGCTGTTTCGCTAGTGTGATGCACACGGATTTATAATCGGAACGTTCTTCTATTAAAGACTTTATCTAAAAAATAATAATTACTTTATGGTTAGCAGGTTACGTAACAAGGATAATGAATGTGTAACAAAACAACAGTCGAGTAAATTACAATGATATATGATAGACTATATAAAAATTGAATCCTAACCTAAAGGGGCTACATTTATTCCAACCTCAACAATAACGTACATACTATGTCATGTTTTAGATATTTTTCATAGATTTATGGTAGTTTTTGTGACATATTTTGATATTACTATTTGCATATATTTGCACAAATTGTGTCTTGTTTACTCAAGTGTCTTCATATGTAAATGTATAAACATAAATTTCAAACTATTCAGATGAGACAAAAGCAAATAGTGTATGAAAATAAAAAAAATATATAATGTTATAGCTGTGTTAGTTCTTCGTGAAATTAATCTTATTAATAGGTAAGTAATTCGTCATATATTAGAATTTGTTAAAATCAAACGGTAATGTAACTGTTTGGGGTACAGAATAACGAACACACATTCGTACGCTAACACAAGTATCCAACTTGTATGGAATGCTTACAACAAATATTAGTAAATAATTTTCATTTTTTTTAATTGACTTCTAATAACAACATCTGTTACACGAATGGGCTGGCTCATAAAGGTCGATCAACGCATCTGCAATTGCGGATATCTAGGGGTAGCTGACGCTTCACTATTTCGGCGAATTCAGGTGGCCGTTTCTTCATTTGCCTCCTTATGAAAAATAATATACCATAAAATATTCTAGCATAGTTTTCATAAAATGTATCAAAGGTCTAGTATTTTCTGCCTTCAAACGTCACACTTATATTACAGTCTTTATTAATTTTTCCTTGTTATTAACTATCGCTAATTATGACACTAACAATGGTTGGTTTATGTTAGAACAATTTTGCTAAAATTAGAAATAAATTTGCTTGATACTTGTGTATAATAGTTTATATTTTAATTAAGCTATCATGAAAAAAATTACTGGATTTGACGTAATCACTAATACCAAAAATAAAAATAGCAATATTTTAACACAAAACTTTTGTCTAACTAAAAATGAATTTGCTACTAATGTAGTTTAAAACGAATCAAGAATTAATTATTGTACTACTTTATTTTTCATTCACGACCCACAAATTCAAAATATCTTTTTGTACCTGCTTTCCTACATCTTGTTCTTTCTCCTCTGCGACTTTAAGTCTTCGAATGTAAGCTTTTTCTAGATCTTTCCAAGCAGCTTCTGCACGTGTTAGCAATTTGACGCGCTCCTCTTCACGTTTGGCGAGCTGCTGCACGCGTTGTCTTAGATCTGTGGTCGACTTGTCCATTTCAACGAGACGGTCTTTGCAAGGACCAGTACACGGCTTAAATAAAATAACATAAAATGTTAAAAATAAAATAAAATAACTTAAATAAAATACAGTCAAAGCTTTGCATTCGCGGGGATTACGTTCCTAAAATGGGCCGCGCACACTTATGCTATGGTATAGTATTAGAAATAACGCAAAAGCAATACCGCAAGCTTAGACAAAATACGTTGCTTCTAACATTGCTAAACTTTACAATGGTTTAGTCAAAACTCATGTAACGATTAGGTGACAAAGGTTAGTGACGATTGCCTTCTACAAGATGGGATTTACATCTAATCAAGGCGAACAAGCGATTCTATTTTATTACTTACTTTCCTTACTTACGTTAAGCCATAGGAAAATTCAATAAAATCTCTCTAACGACTTAATTCATTCCTTAGAAATATTTCTCTATTTCTTGAATTAGCAATAATAATTGGTATTGGTAATCGAAACTTTGTTTGGTCTTCGAACTAACTACGATCAGTATTTCGAGTGCAGTTTCCCAACATGTCAATATTATTTAGATCATGAGACAAATATAATAGCGTATTTGCTTGGATTAAATACGTGTAGATAAATTAATAGTAGAAATACATACATATAGATAAGTCACGCTAAAGTGTCATAATCGTATATCAAGTTATGATAGTTAGGGGAACAATTAGTGAAACATAAATATACATTAATTACGTTTAAGGGAATTATATCAATATACCACATATTTACCTAATGACAGGTAAGAAAACATTTAGAGCGACTACGCATTATATTTATTTAATAAGCGATAAATTCTGTTGAACAGTGAAGCCTTGCGTCGTATGGCCTTCGGACACATCAGTGTCTTGTTCTAGATTTTTCTTAATAACTAAAACGTGCTTCGGATAATTCGAGTTCAATAAAAATAAGTCACATTCAGTTATAATCATATTTGTAAATAAATTGTAAAAGAATTGCATCATGCGATTAAACTGAATCGAATACATAAATAATTAATTTATAGCGAAAAAGATACTACGATGTTTAACATAAATCTATGTTGTATATTGTTTACTAAATTAATTAAATTACTTTCGTTTATAATACTTTTTGTTTTTATAGAATCGACTGTAAAACTTTATTTTTATGACCTGTAATTTATATGATACTAATAAAATTGTATGTGTATTTATATAATTGTTTGTTCTCTTGAGTTCTTTACATGTTGGATAGCATACAAAGATAAACTTACCTCTGCAGTGCTTCTCTGTGGGATAGGACTCGTAGACTTTTGCGTTTTTTTTATTGTAGGTTTTGGTTTACACGTGTTTTCACATCGCATCACTATTTTAGTTTCAATTGGTAGGTTGGATATAGGACGGTAATGTGAATACATTTCATCCACTGATTCTGCACCATTTGATATTATTGACTCCTTGTGGCCAACGATAACTTCAGATGTACGGCACTCATTAGAATTACTGACAACGTAAATATCTTCTGTCACTAATGTATTGCTTTGACTTGCATAGGGATTATTTAAATTGGTTTGAATGAATCTGAAATTAAATAAACTATTTATTCATTTGGTCTTTCATAATTCAGAAAAAGTCATGACTAAATGTATTCATGGACTTAATATTAAACATTAGACACACGTGATATAAACGGTATGCATTACCCAGATCGAATTCAATAAAACTGTAACCTTAACCGTCATATAATTGCAATTTTACCGCAATCCAGATAAAAACATCCCATCTCCGTGACGTTTATTATAATGGATTCACAAATGCACCCGCATCAATTTAAGAGGTTGCGCCCACAGTATAATTACAAAATAATGATTTTGTCAGAGTCGAGACGGTATACTTTTTATCTAGATTCAAGTTTATTGATTATTTAAGTGGGAGAAAGTCATTATGAATTCATTTCTCATAAGCGTAATCCTAATTTTTCATTAGATAATAAATTATGACAGGAATTGCTAAAATGAACCTACTGGAACGATGGCAGGTATTTAATAAAATTTAGGTTTCATAAGTTGAAGAAGGAGTTTCACCGAAAGCAGTAAAATTTTGTTAAGGATCTACATGAATAAAATAGTTTAGATTATTCGTTGTAGTACTTATATGGAACATTGCATACATACCTGTACAAGGTGCTGGCGTCCCCCTGGCCCATCTTCTGCCAGGCGAGAAGTGCGCACGCCAAGTGCCGCTCCTCTGACAACTGAGATGCCATCGAATTTGCAACCCAAGAATTGGAATCAAGGCGTTCTTGTATTGCCTTGATCTTAGACTGAAAACAGGTGGAAAAATAACAAATAAAATAGAATCTTAGTGCTATTAACATAGATACAATGTAAAAATAGATGTTACCTTTAAATCTATGTTAGGATTGATCTCCAACACTTTGGAAATATTCCAAGCTATGAGCGAGTTCATCGATGCAAAATTCTCATCCACCGCAGATATATCAGCTTTTCCTGGGCTGGGGTTTTTTCTAAACAACTGGATTAAAAAATAAGGTGACAAATTCATTGAAGGAAGCTTTTTTTTATTACAAGGTGGCAAACGAGCAGCCACCTTAATTTGCCGAAGTAGTAAAACGACCAATACCCATAGATATACGCATTTTCATAAGTGTAGCCTGCTAAATGTAGATCACGTAACGCACACTCTTCAGATGAAATGGGGAATTACTTACACTTCACGCCAGCTTCTGTGTGGTTCATTCTTACAACTTATATTGTTGTTGGTGTCTAACACTGTTAATAGCTAAGCTATAATTACTGCTTATTTCGAAGCTAATCCTGACAGTCATTTATCAAAAAAATAAAAACAACTCTAGTAAGAATCTAATTCAATCCATTACTTACCTCATTACAAGACTTGACATTGTTATCCATACTATCCAATTGTTTTATCAATTTTTATTTATACTTTCTGATTTTTTTTTCTTTCCTAAGTGCATATCATAAATTCCTCTGGACTTCAAACGTATTTCATTTTGTTTTTTTAAAAGCAATTTTGCAATAACTATGAATTTCTGCACGGGAATATTATTTAGAATAATTGCTTTGTCTTTGAAATATTGTCATTTTGAAGTAAATCAAATTTTCTTTTTATTGCTTGTTATGTTTACAGAGTTTATATTATATGCTATAGCCTCAGGCATCGCGAACTATTTCTTCTCTCCTTTTTTCTTTCTTATCCGAGGCTTATTAGCTATAGACGTAACGTTGACAAGCTGAATCCCGCAATTCTTCAATCATTGCACCGACATCAAAGCGTTAAATTCTTAAGAGAGTACAAAGTTACTGTGGCACTTAAGTACAGTCAAGACTCCTTGTTCACGATTCCGTCACTATTTTACCCTTAAAAATTTGTGACCATTTCCGTCATTCACAGCAAAGTTTTTGCGCATTCGCGGTTTCCGACAGGATATTCTGTCTAAAGTTTCCTTTATTATCGCTTCGGTAGTACATGTATTTACTACTTGCACGGGCTGAGGTGACTTTTATAAAAGTGGAAACGATTGAATGAAAGAAATGAAATGTGTCTTATTGCCAATTTTTATTATTTGCTATCTCATATACGCGGATTTCTCGGTCGCGGTAAATTTTCGGAAGGTAACCCCCGCGAATAGTGGAATCTTACTGCATTTAAATTAAGTACTAATAAGATTAGCTTATCAGAAAATTAGGTCTGTGGGGCTCTCTGGCGCCCTCGAGACGCAATGCAAGATATCGCATTCCCCGTGAAATGGAAAGTGGACCGACGACGCTCAGACGAAATATTTTACCCGTTATAACAGTGTATTGGGGTCACATCTCAACTTTTTGCAGGAGCACCGACACCGGGGCGGAACATTCACCGCTCCATGTACCCAAAAAAACATTAATTACCGCGCAATAAAAATGAACTTTGAATTAAATGGAAGCCTTAATTTTCTTTGGTGTATTAACATTTATTTAAATATTCACAACGCTCCTAACTGCGTCATAATTTTTTACAGTGCTATACACTAAAGTATGTGATTTCATTCGTGTTAGATAAAAAGAGTACTTTTGTATTTTTACAAAATTACATTTGATTTGGATTTGTCTTGAAATAACAGTTATGAAGTTCTTTTTTTATAACTAAAGGGTCAGATAGCGTTTAATTTGACTATCCTTACTAATTGTCTATGTGTATAAAATCGTGTTAGTTATAAATTGAATACATTTTCTAGTTTTTTAATGACCAGGAAACTGGACTAATACCTGTGGAATTTCTTATAAGTTTTTGTAATTCTTTCTCTTTTTTATCCATAAGAGCTTTCTTTACAATATCGTTTACGTATGGTAGGTATGCTAATATTATTTATTGAAAATAACGACTTTTTGGCACGAATTATCTTGATAATTTTTTTAACAAGTTTAATGAATATAGTTTTACTTTACAACAATAAACAAACGATATCGAAAAAATAAACACTACTACTTATAAGTCGATTAAAATTGAAAAGAACCTCAGAAAATACGGGTCTGAATTAAAGGTATGGATACCATTAAAACTATGCTTTACATTTAATAAAACTTAGTCTGATAATGATGTTATGTGTTTCCCATTTTTTCTGTCTGCTTTTTTTTAAAGAATTTAATTTAGAGAGTTAGGGAACTTTGTATGAACTTGCTAGTTTCTTTCTGATGTGTTTTCTTTGTAATGTTAAAGATTAGTAGAACATTTTTTCAGTACCTATTGGAAGGCCTATCGGAGAACCTAAAAATGAGTAATTATTTGCAAACTCAAATTTCTATCGGACAAACAAAACATATGTATTGGTAAAAGCTAAGAATGTGCTTATGACTTAGAAAAATAACATCATAACTTAGGAAATGTCGATAGAGTAATAACAAATAGTTAAAATAAAGGTCAACGTTATCTTAGCAGCTGTGAAGGCAGATGCCTACAAATACCCTTTTTTTTTCTTCGACCTTAAGTCGTCATACAACAACAGAACTTCATATTTGTCTTATTAGAAACATGTGAATGCGATAATATTAGTCCACTGGCATTCTGATGACCGAAATTCGATTTGTTGCTGTTCAAACGTCTTTAGTCTTTGGCGAACTTTAGTCTATTATCGATGGTATAGAGAATAAAGCATCTCTTTTTGCGTAAGTAACGCAATTCCAATAGGAATCTAGTTGTACCATTTGTCTACTCACTTTTGATAAACAAACTCTTTTACAGATTTAAAAAAATCAGATTCTTAGTAAGCCTTAGTTTTTTTTTACTTGATCATGTGACGATAACAAAGTATAATTATAAAATGACTTTATTAGGTGAATTTTGAACCATATACGAATATTGTAAATGTATAAGTAAAAAATTCTTATTATTATTTTATGTCGAATGTTAATTTTAACGATTCACAGATAATAAAAAATTTCGGTATAAAGTATTTACCTTATAGAAGTATTTGAATTTATTTTTACATGGCCATAAACATGACTTGGTAAAACTCTTAAAACATTGGCTTATTTTATAAATAAAACACTTAAATGCTTAAGGAATTTGTAGTAAGTAAAGTTGCTGCATTATCTAATATTCATTTTTGATATTTTAAAATGTTGTATTGTCATCATGAAACGTTAACACACATTGTACAGAAAAGTTTTCTAAATCTTATATTTGCAAATAAACTCTACTTTGTGGTTGATACCAAATAAATTATTTGGATTGTTTCTACATTTCTATTACCGGTCTAATTTTTAATACCATTTGATTCGTTTTCTTTATCTTACTTCTTACTAATATAAATGCTAATGTATGGATGTTTGTTAGAAGATATCTCCAGAACGGCTGCATGGATCTCGCTATAATTTGTAACATAGATGTAAAACATTGTCTTGAAACAGAAAACGGCGAGGGCGACAGCTAGTATGTTGTTACTACAAATAATTCAAAACCAGCGGTTTACATATAGATATTTACTTTTCGTCACGTGTACAGCACGTGACAAATTTTATCACTTTTGTTGCCATAAATCTGATAACCTGCTGTTTAATGTTTTGTATGAAAAGTCTAAAAAATATTGTAGTCGACCGACTGAGTTTTATGGTTGTTTTTACACGTTTATTTATACGTCCGGTCGATTGGTATCTCTTGTTGTTTAAATTGCCTTTATTCCTTGAAGACCGCCCCAGTGAAAAACACGCGACATCACGTAGATGGCGGATGCGGGCGTGGAAATAACCACATAATAGTTATTTAAATTATATTAACTGCTATGCTACGTGAGATAAAATTAAAAATGATTTTGAACTGAAGGGTTTCTCGATGGAATGAAGTAACGAGACGGTGATTCATCATGTAGCGTAAGACATCAGTGTTCAGTGCACCCATTGAAAAAGTATAAAAAAGAGAAGGGTCGATACTCCGGCGGCGCCGTCGGCCGGTTCCCACTACTAACGGTCCGACCCTTCCAAGTATAGCCAGCATTAGCCCCGCACCAGCTATTTATAGCACAGGCCCCATATCAACTGCCAGCCTGCGTTCCTCACGTCTCGCTCACCTACAATGTCTATTTCAATTGATATGCATATAAAACCTTACAAGCTTTCAAAGTTTTTGCTACAAAAATCATACAAGGACGTATTCAACAGCTCACTTTAGTTCCAAACATATGTACCTATGTTTGAGAAATTATGATGTCAAGTCATTTCTTCTTCATCAACTAAATATGGAATACAATGAAAATCGAACGCATGTCGCAGTAAACAACTTTTTCTGTATCGTCACAAATGTATTTACATATCTAGTTTTGCTATTTACAGCCTCGTATGAAATTACCATTGTAAAAGTGCAAAGTATTTGTTCTAAACAAAAATTTAGTTATTAAGTGACTTAACATTTTATAATTCTTCTTCTAAACAATGGCAAAATCACGATCTCTTGTTTATTTAAATGTTCCACTGCAGTCGTGAAATGTACACATACTAGCGTTCGCCCGCGACTTCATCAGCGCAATAAATAAAGTCAAAATGTTATAGTCAAAATTTGTCAAGCCGTTCCGGACAAACGCTGTCTTTCAGAAAGATATACAGACAAAAAAGTAATGATTTTTCGTTATCAGCTACGCAAATACAGGATGTGTATGTTTTTTTTTTAATATGATACAAAGACTCCGATTTTATTAATATGTATACATATAAAATATATAAGATTATACCAATGTCACTATAGTTACAACCCGCAGTTATGTTAACTCACTTCATAGATCTAATTTTAATACAATTTTATTAAAATATACGACTTCTGTATTATTCTACACCGCATTGCATCTGTAAGAAATCTCTCGAGTTAATTCACTGCATACAAATCGCATGCACCCGTTTTCATTTCTAAAATGTGTCTAGAGTCTACTACCTCTACCTCTAGCTTCAAAAAGGTTTTCTTTAATATTAAATTGTTTAAAACAAAAGACCATTATTAATTATTTTTGTTGTAACATCGCCGTAATATGTACGCTCATATATTTTTTGGTCTTATTATTTTTATATCTAAACTAAACTAAAAATATTACCTACTACTAAAAAAAAACCTAATGTTTGCTTTACAATTTCGCAATTACACGTATACCATGTAACATGTTACAACATGTTACAAGAAAAACTATAATTCTCTGATTGCAATGGAATAAAACGTAAGTAAATTAAATATTAGGTAACAAATACAAAACTCCTGTTTATTCAGTAATTAATTTCAGACATGCTGTAAATCCAATGTAGTGATAAGAAATTATCTTTATAAGAAAGTCAAGAGTCATCTCTCGACATACGAATGCGACATAAAATAATTTATTAAGTACTTTAATAATAAATTTAAATAAAATGTAATTCCCCTTAAATTATATTTCTTAACTAAACAAAGGAGAGATAATAAAAAACTGTTTTGTCTAAAATTCTGAGATTTATGTAAAAGATAAAATCGTCGCACTCAGCGAAACTTGCATTTTTATTTGTTTTATTTATGTTTAACTTATGATATAAACACATAAAATTAATTTACATAAATTGCAAGATTTTTGCTATTTCCTCCACG